CAGAGCAGGACCCCAAATCTGGGCCTGAAAGTTTGCTGGCTCAGGCTTCTCAGGGCTTCAGGGTTCATGTCTTTTGCTTCTTTGTCATTTCCCTTGGCTCCAGGTAGCCCAGAGGAAACCGGACGCCCCTCCAAACTCTGCTGTTCTTGTTACAAGTCTGATCTTCACACTGCCCACCCACCACCACCCAGGACCTATTTGTGTGGGCTCTGCCAAATCCAGGGGAAAACAAAATCTTCCAAGCAGAGACCAGGATAAAATCCAGAGGTTCTGGTAAAAGCCAAGAAAAGATGTAGGTACCAGTTTGCATGTAATTTGCATATTAATGATGCTCTGGGGATGCCCTCAGTCTCTCTGAACCTTCCTTAGTCACCCAGTACCAACATAAAACAACTACTACAGTGGGTGGCTTTTGAAAGCAGAAATTTCTTTTCTCCCAGTTCAGGCAGCTAGAAGTCCAAATTAGGGCAAGGCTGTAGGAAAAGGACTTCCTTATCTATCTCAGTTAACTTTTCTATTCATCCACACATCTGTCTCTGTTCTTTCTTCCCCCATGTGTGTTTCTATGTCCATTTGGCCCTTTTTACAACTCAGAAGTGATTAGGTTTAGAACTACCCTACTCAAGTATGATCTATTAACATAATAAAGAAAACCCTATTTTCAAACACAATTATACTTACAGGTTTAAAAACAAAAACAAAAAGTCCATTGCTACTGAGTTGATTCTAACTCACAGTGACCCTATGGGATTCTAAAGGACAAAATAGAAGTGACCCTAAAGTATTTCTGTCTTAGGCTGGGTTTCCTAAATAAGCAAAGCCAATGGAACATATGTATGTGTACATATATATAGAAAGAGAAGTTGATTATCTTACCATTGTAGAGTCCCAGGTCCCTAGTGGAAGGGAGTGAGTCTATCCCCTTTATATATATTATATTGGGAGTAAGCTATACTCCCAAGGAAGCCTCCCTTCAATTGATTGGCTGCTCATAGTCCCTTATAGAACTAACTATGCCCATAATACGTTTCATCATGATGGGAATAAGCACATGCCAACTGCTAAGCTTCTGGACATCCTGGCCAACTCAAGTTGACACAAAACTTATTAGTTCCCAAGGCTGTGATTTTTTTAAAAAAACAAATATTTTCTTGTGATTTGGGTGGAAGTTTCCAGAACAGATATCAGTTTAATAGTCCACAATACAGACACACTTTCGATTGCAAACCCTTCAGTGTAACACCATTCATTCTACTTCCTGTTTCCATTCTTCCTTTCTAACCCTTCTGAACTTTGTCCTTGGGTAAATGCTGCCCTTTGGGTCTCAAATGGTTAATTAGTCTAAGGTGTGAGTGCCTCACCGGTGCAATGTTCTCTTATAGACTTGTCTGTTGTTTGGCTGAAAATTGAGTCACGGGATAAAGGCAGTTCCATACCTGAAGGGTGACTAAGGGCCTCTGTCTTGGGAGTGCCATTAGCCTCTCTCTGACCAGTAAGCCTGGTCTTTTTTATGATTCTGAGTTTGACTCCACATATTTATCCAAGACCTTCCAAGGTGATCCCTTTCAGAGCAGTTGGTAGTGGTAGCCAGGCACTATCTGGTTCTTCCGATCTCACAAGACTGGAGACTGGTGTGGAGACTGGCGTTCACATAACCCATTAGTCCACTGAACTAATTGTTTCCATACGTCTTAGATTTTCATCCCTCTTCTTTCCTCCAGAGAGAGAGAGACCAATAGTTGCACCTTAGTTGGTGGTTCATGAGTTTTTAAAACCCCAGTCATTCATCAAACTAGGAAGTCCACATTATCTTTGTGGACTATGTTATGCTAATTGACCCTGGTGGTCCCTCAGTGATACATTTACTAAAGGTAATGTCTAAGAAGTTTTCATAATTTTTCCTCCTATATGCTCCGCCACATGGAACCACTGTGGCTCTGTAGGATAAGCACTAGACAGATAACTACAAGGTCGATGGTTCACCAGCTACTCCAACGAACACAGATGAGATTTTCTGTTCCCAAAAGGATTTACAGCCTCAGAAACCCTATAGAGGGGTATTGTGAGTCAGAACCTAATTAGCAGCATGTAATAAAAGCAGTGATATGCTCCACCACGTTCATGGATTAAATTTGCAGTAAAGCCAAATACCCATGTACAAATATCCTCTGTCAAACCTATGTATATTTGTGGGTGTGTGCCCACTCTCCCTCCCACACCCAGTCAGCCTGTGTGTCTGTCCATCTATCTACTCGTGGGTCACTGCCATTGCAGGACTGTGTGTATCCAAGACTGTAATCATCATGGAGACCTGGTGTGGTGCTGTGGGTTAAGGCGCCAGACTGCAAAGCCATTTGAACTACAAGGTTGGCGGTTCAAGCTCACCAGATGCTCCTTGGAAACCCTATGGGTCGGAACCGACTCGATGGCACTTAACAACAACAATCACCATGGAGTCCTGGTGTAGCACTGTGGTTAATGCACCGGATTTCAAAGCTGTTTGAATGGCAAGGTCAGAGGTTAAGCTCACCAGCTGCTTCTTGGAAACCCTATACAGGTTCACTATGGGTCAGAACCGACTCGATGGCACTTAACTACAACAACTTTTATAGAGTCCTGGTGTGACATGGTAGGATCAGCACTGGGCTTGTAACTACAAGCGCAGCAGTTCAAACCCACAAGCAGCTCCTGAGAAATCCTATATAGGGTCGCTATGAGTTGGCACCGACTCGACTGCACTTAGCAACCATCTTTATGGAAGCCGACTGTCTCGTTCTCTCCTACAGAGTAATTGGTGTGTTTGAACTGCCAACCTTTCCACGAGCAGCCAAGAGCTTAACCACTGTGCCATCAGAACTCCTTATTTACAAGTAGGAAACCAAAATTCACTGCTATTGAGTAAAGTCTGGCTCATAGTAACCCTGTAGGGTGGACTAGAACGGATCCAAAGGGTTACCGAGGTTGTAAATCTATGTGGAAAGAGACTGCCATATCGTTCTCCTGCAGAACGACCAGTAGGTTTGAACCACCAACCTCTCAGCAGCCGAATGCTTAACCCACTGCACTACCAGGCCTCCTTTTTTTTTTTCTTTCATAAACACTGGTGCCAGGATTTCAACCATATTTTTGGAGGACAAAATTCAATGTATAGTATTCCACCTACCAAGCCTGTCCTCATTCTCCTGCATCATCTAAAGGCTGCAGGCTGGCTGGAGCAGGAGGACCAAGAGAAGGTACCAGTTGTGTCTCTCAAGGCACACGGTGGCTGCCCTCACATAGGGTGGGGTGGGTCTCACTAAAAGCCAGGTGCACAAAGACTCACCTGGTCCCAGCAGAACTCTCCAAGGCTGCCTCTACAAGGCCTCATGTCAAACTGCAGGGTGTCCCCTCACCTGTCTCAGCCTCACTACATAGTCAGGAAACACCTGCATGTGGCTGAGTCCACAGTTCATCAAGTTACACCCAACTTGGTGGGCAGGTGCTGAGATCTGCATGTGACATGAAAACAAAAGCCTATGTTCAGAATCACTCTGTAAAGTTCCTTCCACAATAGGGACCACATTGTTGTTCTTATGAAGTGCCATCAAGTCAGCTCTGACTCATAGTAACCCTGCATACATAGGGTTTCCGTGGAGCAGCTGGTGAACTTGAATCTCTGACCTTGTGGTTCAAACCAACCTTGCAGCCAGTGCATTAACCCACACAGCGCCACACCAAAACTCCACTGTTGTTGTTGTTGTGAAGTGCTGTCGAGTCAGTTCTGGCCCATAACAACCCGTATAGGGTTTCCAAAGAGTGGCTGGTGAGCTTGAACAGCCGATCTTGAGGATCAAACCGACTTTGCAGTTCAGCTCCTTATCCCCCAGCACCACACAGAGATCAGCATTGGCACAAGGGTTGCTCACTTATAGAGCATCCATGGTAAGAAAACCAAGGCAACACAGAAAGCCACATAGGTACTCCAGCTAAGGCCCCAGCTGACAGCCACCATCAACCATCCCTGCACCATTGAGTCACCCCAACCTCAGAGTCTTCTAGGTGAGTCCCCAGACACCATGGAGCAGAGATGAACCATCCCACTGAACCCTGTCCAAATTCCTGACCCACAGAATGGGGAACAAAGCAAAAGGTTTAATAATGCCTATACTTCATTTCTCATACTTTGGACATATTGTCAGGAGGGACCATTCGCTAGGGAAGGATATTACGTTCAGAAAGGTGGAGGGACAGAGAAAGAGAGAAAGACCCCCAACAAGATGGATTGACCAAGTGGAAGCATTGATGGACTCAAGTGTGGCAACAATAGTGAGGTTGGCCCAGGATCAGGCAGTGTTTCGTTCTGCTGTATATAAGGTTACTATGATTCAGTACCGACTCAATGGAACCTAATCACAACAAACACTGGTGTGGTGCTGTAGGTTAATGCACCAGATTGGAAAACTGTTTGAATTGCAAGGTCGGCAATTCAAGCTCACCAGCTGCTCCTCGGAAACCCTACACAGGGTTGCTATGGGTCAGAATTGACTCGATGGCACTTAACAACAACAACAATGTGCACTATCTGATGAGCATGAAGGGTCAGCCAATTCATGTATGTCTTTCAGAATCTCAGTAATGCTCTGCTGGGCAAGAGGCTCACACCAGAAGAGGCATACCAGAACTGAGATCAACCAAGAGGGAAAAAAAATCAAACCACACACTCCATCAGGGTGTAAGCTTGGAGACCAGAGACAAAGCTCCAACATTCAAATGATGTCTCTTGTTTGTCTTAAAGGCATGTGTACAGTTGAATTCTTGCAGGTTAAATATAAGAAGGCTGGGATCCATCAGAGGGGCTCAGTAAAGAGTTGAGACTGAGTTCTGTAAGCTGGTTTTCTGGAAGAACATACCAGGACTTGTAAGGGATTGTCCAATGCAACTGACAAGGAGTGAACTCAAAGATCTCAGCTGCGCCTTCTGATGATGGTGAATGGTGGACTTGGGGGCAGCTACAGCCATGGTTAGATAATGGTGCAGCCACAGCAGTACCGCTCAGGGTAGTCTACCATGTAGACCTTGTGGTCGGTCCCATAGATGTAGTAGATGTAAGGCTTTCCTTGATACCAGTAACGAACTTCTGTGAGAGGGATCAGCTCGATGGTCTGCCGCTGCAGAAACAAATAGCCAAAGAAAACTTAAGTGTTCTGTTTAAGCTACTCACCTGCTCAAGAACCTTCAGTAGCTCACAGCTGCCTGGGGGGTGAAGTTCATACTTTGGAAATGGCATTCAGAATTCTGCACAGTTTGACTATGACCTGCCTTTCCATATGTATCTTCTACTATATTCCTTCACCTACCCTAAGCTCTGGTAGCGTAGTGGTTACGAATCGGGCTGCGAACCTTAAGGTCAGTGGTTCGAAACTACCAGCTGCTCCGCAGGAGAAAGATCAGGCTTT